GAGGTGCAATTAATATTTGAATATAAAATAGAGTTTTGGTAGAATGGCAGAAAAACACAAAACAGGGTTGAAAGGTGTCTAGAGGTCATACCCACCCTCTTCCTGAGGATGCATGAATCACTGCCTATTCTGATTCCTTCTCTCTGAACTGCTCTATTTTTTTTTTCTTTCAAGTTTTTGCTACTTCAGGAAACCATAGTTTTTGGCTGATAGAAAATTTGCAGCAGCAGTATACAACGAGAGAGCTATTTCTGCCCCGTTGTCAGTGAAGTATTGACATTATCTAGTATGTAATAGACTTTGCCCTCTAAGAAAATGCTGTTCTTAGCTGGCTATTGAGAAATGTTTCAAAAAGGCTCGTGTCTGTGGTTTTTGAACTTTCAGCTATCAGGTTTTCTGTATATCTCGGAATAGCAATAATGTTCCTCTGGTGAATAGGCTTGGGAACACAGTAATATACTTTCTTTACAACGTTATCATTTCCATTATTTTGAGCAAGTGTGGATCAGTATAAATTATTTAGGTGAGCATGGAGGGCCATCTCGCTAGATGCAAGGCAATCTGTTAAAGATTTGCTATCATGCCAGAGAATGAGGTGGGTGGGTGGAGAAATACATTTTATGAGTCATATGGCTTTAGGAACATGCTTGCATTTGGAAAGGAACTCTTGGTGAAATGCACTGTAAAACGACAACAATAACACCATGGAAACCCAAATTCACTAACAGCATATATCAAAAGAATGAAGTAGAAAAAAAGCACACCAAGCCCTGTTAATATGCCAAGGATGATGATCAAACAGGAGTTTAGAAATGGTTCTTTTATTTATTTTTTTATTTTTTTTGTGAGTATATTTTATTTATTTTTTCATTTCAATTAAATCTTTATTAAGATTATTAAATTTGTTCCTCTCCCCCCCCATAACACCCCTCCTCCCAGTTCCCACCCCACCCTCCGCCCTCACTCCCCACCCACTGTCCTCATCCATAGGTGCACGATTTTTGTCGAGTCTCTTCCCGCATCTCCCCCACCCTTTTCCCCCCCAAGAATAGTCAGTCCATTCCCTTTCTATGTCCCTGATTATATTATAATCACCAGTTCATTCTGTTCATCAGATTATTTATTCACTTGATTCTTAGATTCACTTGTTGATAGATGTGTATTTGTTGTTCATAATTTGTACCTTTACCTTTTCCTTATTCTTCCTCTTCTTAAAGGATACCTTTCAGCATTTCATATAATACTGGTTTGGTGGTGATGAACTCCTTTAGCTTTTCCTTATCTGTGAAGCTCTTTATCTGACCTTCAATTCTGAATGATAGCTTTGCTGGATAAAGTAAACTTGGTTGTAGGTTCTTGGTATTCATCACTTTGAATATTTCTTGCCACTCCCTTCTGGCCTGCAAAGTTTCTGTTGAGAAATCCGCTGACAGTCATATGGGTATTCCCTTGTATGTAACTGAGTTTCTTTCTCTTGCTGCTTTTAAGATTCTCTCTTTGTCTTTTGCTCTTGGCATTTTAATTATGATGTGTCTTGGTGTGGTCCTCTTTGGATTCCTTTTGTTTGGGGTTCTCTGCACTC